CATCACAACCCAAATTTCTACTGAATGCAGCAAGTTTGAGTTAACTTCTTACAGTGCCTTTATGTCAAACAAGAAAAATCCACATAGATAGCTGAATATTTCAGTGTGGCTTCATCTTTTAGAACCATAAAGGATGAGCTCATCCTTAGGTTTTGTTATATGCATCTTCTGTTTTGATGCAAACCATAGGCTCCTTTAGTCAGAGAATTATAGCAACAATAAAAAACATGAGGCCAAGGTTTGAGGTAGATAATTATATACCTCACTATGAGTCACTGTCTTACTCTTCAGATTTTTTTAAAATCTGAAAACCTCATCCATCAAGGAATGAGGAAGATTCTGTCTTCTTACAATTCTAGGGAAGGAATATCTTAACTGGAATTATTGTGGATCCCATTAACAAAAGCCCTAGAGAACCCAGAATGGCTAGTTCATCCCTAAATGCTACATCCATTAGCAATGTGCAGTCATCTGAGAGCTGTCTCACACAGGCCAGGCACATCCTAAGAGCATGTGGTACTACTTTCAGAATGTCTTTCTCATAAGGTCTGATTGATAGTAAACCCACATCCCTTCAACTATCCTATTAAATGACCTAATTTTTTTTTCCATTGGAAGCAGAGCAATACCAAACTAACTGGTCAAAATGTTCTGTAATAAATTAATAGCTTTGGGGCTAAGTTGATGACTTTAGTTGATTATCTCGGTGATGTACATATAAACTATGTTTTATAGAATGAGTAGAGGATAAGAAAGGCCTTTCTTATACAATTTGTTATTTATTCATCTTTTCTGTTTTTGATGATGCTAGTAATCAAATACAGGGCTTCACACATGCTAGGAAGGCCCTATACCACTGATCTACTTTGTATGCAACCCCTCTTCAGCTTAAATAACATAACAAAGCTTTTTTCAATATTTATTTTTTAGTTTTTTAAAAGTAGACACAATATCTCTATTTCTATTTTTTTAAAGACAGAGAGAGAGAGAGAGAGAGAGAGAGAGAGAGAGAGAGAAAAAATTTTAATATTTCTTTTTTAGTTTTCAGCAGACACAACATCTTTGTTTGTATGTGGTGCTGAGGATCGAACCCAAGCTGCACGCATGCCAGGCAAGCATGCTACTGCTTGAGCCACATCCCCAGCCCTCTATTTTTATTTTTATGTGGTGCTGAGGATCAAACCCAGTGCCTTACGTGCTAGGCGAACACTGTACCATTGAGCCACAACCCCAGCCCCACAACAAAGCTTTTTAAAGCACCAAGAGTAAATAATTGATGATACTATTTACCCAAATTAAGTTTAACCTTCAAACTTTGTATGAAAAATATAGTATATCCTAAATAAGCCAATATAAGAAGTTCAGTGTTTATGTATGTATAAATATTATACTAGTTGAAAATTCATTTAATTTTTAAAAAATATTTTTAGTTGTAGATGGACACAATACCTTTATTTTGTTTATTTAGTTTTTTTATGTGGTGCTGGGGATCGAACCCAGTGCCTCACACATGACAAGCAAGTACTCTACCACTGAGCCACAACCCCAGCCCTCATTTTATTTTCAGTAGTGTATTATGATTTTATAAATTGAAGATATTTTCAAAACTTGTCAATAATGAAGAGGCATTTTCTTTTCTTTTTTTCTCTTTTGTTTCTGTAAATTAGGGTGTTCTTATTCCTTAGGAACAATAAAGTACTTGGGTTTGGCTTTGAATCTGATTGAACACCTTACAAAGTAAATAGGAAAATAATTTTTGGAACATCATTTAATATTACAGATCTGTGGTTTTGTTTTGCCCATGTCAATCAATCAAACATATTTACTGAATTCAGGAAATTTAACTCAATATGTAGATTCAGCTATTTTGCTTTGGGGGAATATTAGTTATGACAAGCACAGAATAAGACATGCACATTTTTGGAGCAATTTTACAAAACATTTACCTTTGGTACTTTAAATTTTTTTTATAAAATGTCTACATTAGTTTGTGGTATTTTCCTCTCAATTTATTGGATATACTAATATGTTTTAATAAACATCAATAAAAATGGAATTCTTTCAAAATTGTTGTCTGTGCCGTGAATGCCCTTGCCCACCATGTGCTTCACAAGGACCTCAAGGACATTGTCAGTGACTTCAGAGGCTTCTACAGGCAGCTCACCAGTGACGGGCAGCTCAGATGGGTAAGAGACCTATTTTGTAAAAAGCTTTTATAAATAAGTTACTA